ATATAAAAAATTATGTGCGTATAAAAAGTTAACGGACCTTGTCTTCGAAGTTAAAGATCAATAAAAAAAATGTTTAGGTTTTCGCTATTCATATTACAATATATAGTGCAGAATCAGAAAATAATACATTTAATGACAAAAACCGATATTGGGTAATATTTAATAAAAGTTTCATTATTTAAATAAGGCCCAAATATGGTTCTCGTGGTACTGTAAAAAAATTCACTGAGAATCAAATTTGGGTTTCATGGCAACTTTGAAAAACTAGGCAATCCCCACGTCGCAACGAGGCGTATTTATCAAGATGACAAGTGCGAATAGTCGGCTACGTGTTCCAGCTATAATTGAATAATTATTTTAATTGTCGCAACGAGGAATATTCACTATTATTGAGATGATAAGTGCGTATAGTCGGCTACGTGTTCCAGCTATAATAATAAAATTATTTTTTATATAATCAACGTATGTATAAACGTCTCGTTGCGTCATGCCGATAGTCTATTATTTATTACAAGAATTTTCCTTGGATTTACTGCTTTACATTAAAAATAAACAAAGAAATCAGTCGAATGCTATAGGTACCTACTATAAGGACATGCATGTAGCTTTGAGCAGTATCCCACCAAGAATATCTCTGTACGTAAAGGAGATGCAAGCCCAAAAATCCCATAAATTGTTTTTATAATATTGTAGTTTACTTATAAATAAATATAATAATATGATATACATTTTTTTATAATAGTAATTTGCATTAAATTGTATGTCAAACATTTACTTAAAATTGATCAATTGTAAACATTATTATAAACCAACCTGCTTATAAGGAATTTCATTATGTTCGATTAATCGAACAAAAAAAAATTCTAAATTGTGTGAAAAAAATTAATTTTTGTATATAAGTAGAATATGTTCTAAAATTGAAAATTGGGGACCACTGATTTAAATATTGTATAATTTACGAACTACCACCTGAAGATATTAAGGGAAAAAAATTAATTTAATGCTGAAAGTTGATTAAACACTTAAATCGTGTTTTTTTACAATAGTAGGTACCTACCTACCTAAACGGTATATTTATTAAAGGAAAACCATTTTTGTAAATTACTGTTGAAAATTGAAACTGAACTCAAAAATATTTAGATCAATTTTAAATGTTTATTATACAAAATTATAATACTTTATACCAATTTCCTTAACAACATAAATATATTAAACAATCTAGTAAAACTGCTAAATTTAAGTATAATTTTTCAAAAGTTCAAAATCTATTTACTATTATATTTACAAGTTACAACATAACATAGCAAATACAAAGAAAATTATTAAAATAAAAAAATAATATGTCATTTTTACCCTTATGACAATATAATAAGTATATAAAAAAAAATAGTTTTTATCTTTCTAAGTGAGACAATTAAATCAATCGAAAATCGTGTGAACGTTTGAAAATATCAATCAAAAAATGTAAATATATATTTTATACAAACAGCTCGATGTGCCGAAAGTCAGTTAACTCGTTTTAAATTTTGTATTTAGCCACAGAATATTGTAAAGATAAATTATTGATAAGGAAAAACAATACATTTTTAATTTTAAAAATACTACTTTTGACCGTCTTTTATACCACTGTGGCTCTCCTAGGTTTAATCGGTGCAACGCGGCAATCGAGTCCAGTTGGTAGCGGCCAGAATAGGTCAGTGATGTTGAATACCAAGGAAGTCATTAGTCAACTTTCCTATAAGAAAACAAGTCATTGACCGTAGACGGCCAGTGAAAAACTATGCTCTTGCCCTACTCGTGTTCAGCGTCGTCACAACAAAAGTTTAAAATCTTAGAATTTGTCGCATCCGTACACAAATTCTTCTAACATCTATTCTGAAAAGTATAATAGGTACTTTAGATAAACATGGTTTTCCAAAAAAAAAAACTCAATATAAAAAATAAGTATAAATCGTAGACTAAAATAAATGTAATGTCAATAGTACATTATTTTTATGTGTGTCTCTTATGCAGTGGCGGATCTAACACCCGGGTAACCTGGACATGTCCAAAATTGGGAAAAATAGACTGACCGATCTCAAGTAACAAAAAATAATAACAAATTCAAATCAGTTCTAAAAGGTATCATCGTATTGCTAGGTCGATAAGTATGATGAACAAAAGATTGGTATGTTTTAGCTAAAATAACTGCAGTCCGCCACTGATAACAATCATTGAATTAGAATTTTTTTAATAATAATTATTAGGTTTGATATTTTCGAAAAATGAAAATTTTTGTTTACGAACTGTTTGCCGGTAAAACCGTGAGAGATAGAAAGAAAGTCGTGAGACATAAAACTTACCGCCATAACTAGTTACATAAGTTGTATGCATTTGATTTTCCGAAAAACCATTATTATGGATTTTTAAAATATCGTACTCAGATGGAACGATTTTGAAAACCTAAAATTTGAAATAATGAGTTTTTCGAAAAATAAAAATTTGAGTGTAGTAGAGAATTACTTGAAAAATCAATCGATAATAATTGTACCACCAAATTAATTTATTATAGGTTCTCAATTCTATTGAGAGATCGAATGCTGCAGATTCGTTTTGTTGTCAGCTCTGTCTTAGTAGTATGTAACATATCAAATTTCAGCAGATCACGTTTATTTATTTTTTATTTATTTATCACGATTTTGTTTTTTTATCACGGTCTTTTTATGGTAGTTAAAATTTTTAGCAAGTTTTGAGTACCTATTTAATATAACACAAATTTAAAATGCTCGTTATATCATAACTTATTTAAAAATTGTATTATCGTAAAATAAACCACTTATTAAATAAGCACAGATTATGTTCTTGCCACCGAATACATTTTGTATGTTACACACTTATTATAATAAGACAGAGACAAATAATGCCCGTGCAAAGGATTAAACTGTGTATTATAGAGGGGAGGCATAATATTTTGTAAAAAGGGTAAAAAGTTGAGAATGATTGTGTTATATTAACTTGATTTACCTTTTGGGAAAGTCGTTGAGTCTTTCCGAGCTTTTTTTAGTTTTCATTATATTCGTACCAATTTCTGACTCTGTAGTTAATAAATATGGTAAATCCAATGTGCCCTCTTTCAAGTCCGAATGATCGATTATTCAATCCTATAATTAAAAACAATTAGAAGTTGACGGATAAATTTATAAATATTAAAATTCCAATAATACTATTTTGATAATCATCTGGATGTTCATCAAAACACAAAATGTGATGAAATTCATCTGAAAAGTGTTTAATACCTCCAACAAATCTTCTTGGGTAAATTTTAGCTATAAACAATTTACTATTTATTAATTTAAAGGCCCTATCGTATAAGTACTATATAATAGTAATATTTGTTAATAATCATGTTTAAGAAAAATTGGGTTTCATGGTGTTCAAATTTAATACCAGAATAATAAAACAATAAAATATGTCCCAGGTGGAAGTGACTATACCTACATGTGTGCATCAAATTATGAGAACATACCTATACATCGTGAAAAAAAGGCTCTGAAAGTTATAATATCACTTTTTAGCTATGCTTTTGCAAGATTGAACTATAGATGTAATTTATGTTCAGAATTTCAGATAGTCTGCTAAATTATTGAACTTAGCTGGACGACTTTAAATACTTTATTAGTAATATACACAGACGATTTCATTGATAGTAGACGTGGTAGTTTATTATTTATTATTATGTACCTACACATGATTATGCTACACTATTTTTAATTTTTTTGTTAAGTCACCCAGCCACAAGCTATCAATTTAGTTATATTATTTTCATTTATTAGCGCCTGTAAGTTCATACATTTGCAAATTAATCATGCAAATTTGTAATTAATGACATAAAAATCCATTTCAACGTACCCAGGTTAAATATGTGATGTTTAATTTTGCATATTTTTGCTTATACATATGAATTTTTTATTTTTTTATTATATAAGTATATATCTACCTACACCATTAAATCTATATCTTGTTAGTGTATTGCTGTTTAATAAGAATAAAAATTCCAGCTCAGTTCTTATCTGTATGAGCGAATAGTAATAATGAGTAATTTTTACTTGTTTTTCAGGTTATCTGAAATAATAACAAAGACAAATTTGTTAATATTTTATATTGATTTAAATTTTTGGTGGTTGCAAACTGAGTGCTTTACTTTCTATAACTTGTAAGTTCTATTAAAATTCATACACATTTTTACCAAAAAAATATCTTGTGTCATTAGTAAAAACAAGATAAGTACCTACTTAATACTAGCATACAATGTAACACGATGAAACATTAAAAATATATGAGTTATCATACAAGATTCAATAATCATTGTCTCATTGATACATGTAACTTTCTTACTAACCAACTCTAGCTTTATGCAAATTTGATTCCTGGTAAAGTGATAACTACAGTTTTGTATACTTATACAGTTATATCTCTATAACTTGAATTAAATAAATTACAAAATATTTAACCATGTGATCAATTATTATATCTGATTTTTTGTGAATTTACAAAAATAATACCTATTATGGAATCTAGTTTAAAATTGTTGTTATTTACCTAAGTATGATATTATACATTGATATTTATGAAATAATAATAAAAATATTAACAAGTTTATTCAAGTATAATAATATAATGTATGTTGGTAGCTGTTTACAATTGTTTTCCCTCTGTGTACCTAAATAATAAATAAATAACTATTATGTATAATGATATTTTAACAGACCTTTAATAAACTATCAACAAACATATTATTAAAGTAAAATAAAAACTGATAAAAAAAAAAAAATAGATGTATAAAATAATATTAATTATATGTTAAAGCTTATTTGCAGTAAGTATGTAACTATGAATTAAAACTTCTTAATTCATATTATATAAAATTAATTTTTTACTGTTACCATAGAGGTACCTATTTGCTTTTATATTAGTATTTGTTTTTATATATAACAATAACTTTTTAAATGTATTGAAAACAAATACGTATTACACTGTATATATTAAGTATTCACAATTAACTTTTGAATTTTCTTTTGTTGGGGTTGGTTTAAGTTTTAGATCATCCATAATTTCCCATATTATTTCACTGCGTTTGCAATATGCATTATAATATCCAATTGATGGCTTTGTACTTGTATTTCCACTGCGGTAATTTACAACACCTATTAGTTCATATGTACACTGCCATTGTGTAGTAGAACCTTGGATACATCACAAATGTGTACTTCTATAGCACGGCCAGCCTCAGTACTACAGCTAGTTTCATCATCTAAATAATACATTAGTACAAGATATAATTGTTTAATTTGCATTATATTACTATTATTTTACTACATATCACTTATTCATATAAAGAGTACAATACTTACTATTCCAATATAAAACTTCTATGAAAATGTGAATTGGTGATAATTTTGAAATTATTGTTTTTGTATTACTACAAAGTAATGTATTTGAAGAGATGTAATCACAAACAGACGTCTCAGTGGATAATCGGTGATTTAAAAATTTTTGTAAGCCATTTAAGCTTCCATCTGATGTCTGGAATGTCAAAAATGCTACTGGACGGCTTGTATTTCTTTCACAATTCGGATCCGAATAAGTAATATCTTCAACTACAGTTAGTGTTTTTATATTCATTTTTGTAATCACTAGTCCTGCTTTTGTATTACAAATAGCTAGTGAAGTATTATACTCGAGTGGTTGTAGTTCAGGTTCTAGTATACTTAATATTATTCTAGTTCTTTCTGTGTAAGTAGAAGCAGTTATGCCATTTTTAACAATATTCGAAACAAATTTTAAAAACGGATGTATACAATTAAGTCCATCGATACAGTTTTTATAATGTTCACTATCACAGTACGATACCATAAATATGAACGCCAACGTGTTAAAGGCACATGTATTACTAAATATTATTTTCCCTATATCTTTAATATTGCAGCATTTAAGTTCCTCAGCTCTAGAAACATTATTTTTACATGGCGCAAAAATGGATTTGGTGTTAAGTATGACTTTTGTTTTTGTCTTTTACTCTTCCTATTCCATGTTTCATGAGATGTGGTTTCATCATTCAAGTATGAATTTTTAGTTTCTAAAAATTTACAAATTCTTAAAGTTTCATCATCTGATTTTTTCCCAGAAAAAGATGGAAGAGCACGTACAGATATACCACATTTTATACATTTATGAGCTCCCTCTAACCTTCATTCTTTTTTTCATATTCATAAGCTAATAGTAAACAATCTTCATTTTCTGACTCTTCTAAATTTGTTATTTCATTAAATCGCAATTCAAAATCCACAAAACCCGTTGAAACTGCTTGAATTAGTTTTTTTTTCGTTTTCACACGGTGTCATACATCCTGTTTCTATATCTTCTCCATTGGTTTCATTATTGATTACTATAAATAAAGATAATAAGATTTTTCGAATTTCTTGTAATGATTAACTTTCAATATCAATCCAATAGATTGTATAATAATTTCACGTACTCTTTTTGGTAATAATTTTAACGGAGCCCATTTGAATACTAATTTTATAAAATGAGCCACATTAGTACGAATAAAACATCTTTGCAACCAATACGAATCGCATGGTATAGTTCCCATAACTAAATCTGAGCAAACTTGAATAAAGTCCTTGAGTGATGAAAATTATGTGAAACATTGTACAGCGGCAGAGAGAAGCGCTAATGATTGGTCACAAACAAATTCTCTTGGAGAAACAATATCACAGCAAATTAATTTTCCTAACCAATTAAGTATTGATAATGTTGTATGACTTTCACTAATCATATTAGTGACAGTAAAACTATGGCATTTATTAGCATGATAAACTAATGCTTTATATAAAAATATTGAGTGTGTTTTTTCCAATCTAAATTTAATAAATTTTTTGACAACTGATCCTGTAGCATCAATATTTATCCTCGGATGTTGTACAGTTTTACAATAGTTTCTATATATATGAAGTAGTTCTGGACTATGGTAGGGTATGAAAAAAGGACAACTACACATGTCTTTTAAAATATTATTAAAATTGATTTCAGTTTTCATCATTGCTAAAGAAGTTAGTGTATCATTATGTCTTTTATTAGATGTTACCTTCGTGATTTTAAAACACGCAAAGCATTTGCTGATGGCATAATCAATGGGTCAGGACCTCCTTAAACATTTAAAAAAAGTTAAATATTATATAATGAATCTTAATTTATTTGAATTGTTATATACTATAATAATAATGTATAGGTATGTCTTTCCGTTTTAAATAGTAAATATTTTTATGGGCAATCAAGTGTAAAGAGGTCAGCTAGTATAATATATTTACATAATTATTATTTTAATTTCAAATCCATGTATAAAAATAATGTAAATTTTTTGTAAATTAAAATATATTATACATTTACAACTGTTGATTATAAATAATTATATTTAATACTTAATACCTGCAAATAAAATTTTTAGTCAAATATAATATAATATTATATTATATTAAATTACTAAAGTAATTAATTAACTATTACCTAAACCTAATATGGAAAATTAACTATTTTTTATAAAATAACACTGATTCGTTCATATGTATTTTGAAAGTTTGAAAAATTCATATACAGTAGAATTGTGTTTTTTTTTTTTATATAAAATTTGTATCATACATTTAATACAGGTCATGGTTTAAACTATTACATTTTTGTTTTATCATGTTACAAGTATGTTATTATTTGTGTAATATAATTTTAAAAGTTAATATTAAAAATATTGATTAAAATTTAATGTGTTTGAATTATGTGGGTTCCTACATATATACTTATTGAAAATACAAAATACCAAATTTAGAAAATAATTAATTTAATTTGCAGTCTCCAAAATGATATAAATAATTTTGTTAGTACAAAGTAATTTTATAACTCTAAATTAGGAACTTTTAAGTTATAGTTATAATTTTGTAGACATGCTCTAAATGTAATAAGACATTCAATTGTAAAGATACCTTAGAACACCATTTCAAAATTCAACACACGTCTGAACATGAATCTATTGTAAGTGTTGATGCTCATATCCATGTTGAAAACAAACTGCGTAAAGACAGTAATGTAAATATAAAAATTGCAAATGCGAAATGCAAATTGTGTCATAAAAAGTTTGTTAGTCTTGACTCTTGAGGGACTAAAATGCCATCAAAAAAGTGTACACCCACAACACATTCAAGAAGGAAAACAATTTCTCAGTGTTCAAGAATATTTCGTAAGTCAATATGCTGTTATATAAATATATTTTTATTATTATTTATTTCTAATAAATAATAGGAATGTCATTATTGCAATAAAAAATTCATGCGGAAAGATACCTTAAGACATCTTATTAAATGTGGTCACTTATTTGAACAAGATGTTTTTGTAAGTATAATATGAAATAATAAATAAATTATTTGCTGTATATTTTGAATGAATCTTTAGGAATGTGCTCATTGTTTGAGAAAATATTCTAGAAAAAATGATTTATCAAACCATATCAGAGACCATTGCTTCATGTACAAAACTGCTGAATGTCCAAAGGTAAGATATTTTCCTATACAGCTTTGTAATTATGACAATTAACATGGGTTTTTCATAACTTAATTGTAGATTAAACATTTTAAATGCCCCATGTGTGAACAAAATGTTGACACAAGAAAACGCATTAATGAACACTACCAAAGAGACCATAGACTTGTCTTCCTATATGAACAATTACAGTTCCAAAACTTTAAAGAGTTTGAAAAATAGAAAATTAATGTGGAACAAAAATCGTACTTTCAGTTTTCTAAAGCCGTATGGTGAAAAACCAAAACATGTACTGTCACCAAATATATATGTCATCGTTCAGGGGAAAAAAGATTAAAAAGCATGACGAAAATAATCCCAAAACTGATAGGTTCAAAAAAATTGAACAGTATTTGTCCCACACTTCTAACACTAAGGGAATTCAATTCTAGTGGTTTATGTTCAGTCATGTATCAAAAACACACCTGTTAGTAATTTATTAATTTTTTAAGTCATGGGGTGTAATGATAGATAGCTTCCACGTAGTACACCCTGGGCAACGTCAACTTGTGACGGCAAAAGATCTATCGATATAATTAATATTAATATTAATATTTATTTTAATCGAAAAATTACCTCTCTAAAGTTCCTTTTTGGAACATGTAAATTAAGTTATATATTTTTGTATAATAAAATGTGTACACTAACCTGTGAAGTACCTTTTTTCAATATTTGACATTACATACTATATTAAAAATGTATAATATAATATTATTACTATATTAAATATGTGTAATAAAGTAAAAACTAATAATTAATATTCAATAATAATATAATATCATATAATCAAATAAATGCTGATAATATACATCATATACATTATATTATATTTGATAAGTGATAACATGGCCCATAAAATAGTGCGGCTCCACATTAGTAATTTCCGCCACCGGAATTAAGTCATTAGTTTATAGTTAGCTCGTATTGGAAACATGGCTAAATTACTTATTACAGTACCTTCTTTCCAGGGGTGGCCCCAACTTTAGTCTTTTTGGTACCTCGCATCTTCTTCATTCTGTTCTTCCTTTCCTTTTCAAAAGTCCATGCTAAATAAATAATTTGATTAGTAAATATTTATAAAATAGCTATAAAAATGTTATTACCCTTTGTAACCTGTATTTTGGTTCAAACTTCTTTGCATGATCTAATGCCTCATAGATGAGAGCGAAACCTGTCGATTTTCCACCTCCAAAACATGTTTGGAAACCAAATACAACATCAGGTAAAACTTTTTGCATCTTAGCATATTTTTCACGAATATCAGTTTTTGGAGAAGGTTTTCCTGGATGCATGACATCAACAACCTAAATAAATAAAATATTGTTTACAATTAAATGTAACTAAGTAAAAGATAAAATAATAACTTTTAATATAATACAAATAACCCTGGTGTTAATAAATTTTGAATACAATTTGGTTTTGGAGGATTGCACACTACTGGTTTATAGAGAAAAATAAAACTACAAGTGTTTCATATGTACTGGCCCGAGTTTTACTCAAACCATACAATTTTTTAAACATATTTTAATTTATTATGGTCTATTTTCAATCTTTTGACAGCAAGCAAGTTTAGAGCTAGGAGTAATAAAATGCCTAAAATCAAAATATTATAAATCAAACCTTAACAGATTAAAACGGACTTGAGTTTTATACTGTTAATCATTTAAAACATATTACAGTTAGATGAGTTCAGTTAAACAAACTTTGGATCCTTTGAGCTATATTGTAAATTTGTTATTCTTAAAATGAAAAAATCCCACTTAAAATGTAGAATATTTTTTTAAGTTTCAATGGAAAGAAATAGTTTTATATTTATTTATATTTATAAAAATTTAGCTCCAAAAATGGTAGTTACTATAAATAACAGAACACTCTCATTAGATATATTGCATAAGCATGTTCTAAAGTTTAAAAGGTTAGATTATAATTTATACATTCATCAAAGTTAATATTTTTGAATTTAGACAAATATTTATGGATTGGATTTTAAAGAAACTGCATATTATGCTGGTGTTAAGAATATAATTGCTGATGCTAAATCTATAGAATTAACAAAAATACATATTTTATAGTAAGTTATCTAAGTGTTAATGGTAGATATTATTTTTGTTCACCATTTTGGAAGATTAAGTAAGTTTAATTAGACAATACACAGCATCGTTAATTGATAGTTCAATTAATTTTGTAATTTGTATTCATAAAATTAAATATTGTATGTAAAATAGAATTTTAGATTTCTTGGCCATTTTATATTTGTTGGAAATTGAATTTAAGAGTTGTAGAAACATAAATTATTTACTCACCATTTGGTTTCTGCATAGCAGTCGATTGGTCATGAACTTGCGGGTCCGAATTGTAGCAGTAGAGGTATTCAGTGGCGGCGTGATGCAGAATTTTTGGGTCAACTGTCCCATCTATAGACTGGTGGGTGGGTGGGTCCAGGGTCGTGGCCGTCGGGTGGGTAAGTGGTGAGTATGCCAAAAAAAGTTATGAAATTACTATTGAGTATTAGTACTAGTATTGAGTATTAATTGACGTCTATAATAGTTAACATTATTACATTCCAATGTGCAAACGCAAAGTGTACCTATTGACTAATCGTGTAAATGTGTATAGTGTATTAGTGTAATACTGAAATCATAATTATTCCAAGTCAGAAGAGTTATCAATAGATATTTTCTAGTAGACAGTTCGACCAATGTTCTGTGATTCTATTTTGATCTTTGGCTTGGTTGGTATTGGTGTATGGCGGGGCACTACACGGGTATCAGCGACATAGTGATATCGAAATCAATACAAAATCACCAATTCTATTTTTAGAAAAGTATAATTTTGAATTTATTAAATTAGATATGGTGGATCGTTGACGATAATATCAGCAGTGCTGATTTACGGTGTACGTCTACTTTGTTTTTTATTTTTGTTGGCTGTTAATTTTTATTGTGTGATGTTTGCCGTTTAGTGTCTTACATAACCAATATTCAATTAGTTTGATTATCGCGTCTTAAACTTTTAATAATGTCAGAACGTAATGTGTGTCTATGTGGACGAAAAAGATTGAAGATAAATGAAACTAATTGGAATCGTCATTTAACAGCATGTAATGTTGCTAAATTAAAAAATACAAAAACTGTGACAAATATACTTTCTTTTATGGCAAAGAAAAGAACAATTGATGACGAAGTGCATAATCAGTCTTTACCAAATAAAGGTAGGTATATACTAAAAGCTTATTTATTTAAGTAAATTGTTTATTTTTAATTGTATTATGCATTCAGTCTTGAACAAATATTTTTCAATAGTATTATACAATTTAGAATAATTATTATTCATCTATTGATTGTACTAGTCCTACAAATCTTATTTGACTAATTTAACTGGGATTTTAATAATTTTTTTCTTATACTTAACGATTAACGTTAACCTATGATAATAATGCTAAGTAGATAATAGATAGATTATTTAGTTAAAAATTCAAGATCAGAAACACTTATTTAATAGATTCTTCAAACTTCACAAGTTCAATTTTCACCTTTTTGAAGTAAGACATTTTCTAGAGCTAGATACCAATTTTTATTTTACAGAAATTAAATTTTAAATCAATGTTTAAGAAAAACTTAGGTTGGTATTTAATTTTTATTTTTGAAACATAATTTTGGTTATTTTATTTCCTATAATAAAAGTAGGAAAAAATATTTAATGTTTATCATATTGCCCATTATTTTATGTAAAAACATTAGAATTTTAATGAGTATACTTTTGTTTGATTATAGATATTACAAACATTAACATTGAGGCTTCTTCTTCGCACTATAGCTGCTCTTCTGTTAGCCAAATAAATGTTTCAAACACTAGTGATATTATAAATACAACAGAATCAATAACTGATTTAATAACCAACTCTAAAACTTCTTGTAAGTTCTATAAAAAATAAACATTAATCTTGAACTGTGTACCTATGTCCTATGTGTACCAGCATGCATATTATAATGTATAATTTTAACTAACAATTCACATGTTTATTTATTTTACTTTTAAGGTGGTTAAATTAATGTAGTTTAAGCATCTTATTTTAACAATTTCAGCCTTCTGAAGTCCAACAGACTTCAGATTCAGATAGTGGGAATGATATACAGGGAGATTTTTCAAACATGTTCACCCCCAATTTTTTACCTTAATTTTTTTTTACTTATTTAAGTCTTAAATTTAAATCTTTATATAGAGTGATTCACTAAGCATACTCAAATTACAAGATACCAACTAGAAAAAAAACCGTCTATATTCCTAATTTTTGTTTGTTTGCAACAAGTTACAGTCATTTGTTGAGTTCTGTAACGCACATTTTAATAACTGCATTATTGAAGAAAAAAAAGTGTGAATGCTTGGTGAATCATCCTATATATGTAACAGTAGATTGATGTATTTTATTTGTATAGTAATAAATAGTTGACTTTTTATTAAATTTACAGTGCAAGAAACTGAATTAATT